TATTTATACCTAACGTTTCAGGTGCTAAAACGCGTGATGTCAACACAAAGCATATCTTCACAGTTCTCAGCAGAAGAGTTTCAAGTTGCGCAGATTTTTTTGCGAGATTTTGAGAAATCCGGAATTCATCTTCCTTCTTCAGAACGGGAACAATTTGTACGATTGTCCGACAAGGTTATTACGCTAGGCCGTAAATTTACCCATAATCTACAGCCCAATTCAAATGATTATATTGAAGTTGATGTCTCACTTCTTGATGGATTGAAAACAAAATTCCCCACAACTAGCAAGAGTAATGTTGTTAAAATATCAACAAAGACATGGGAGGTTCCGATGATCATGAAACAAGTGAAAAATGAAGAGGTCAGAGAATCAATATATATTGCTTCGAATTCAGCAACGAAGGAACACGTTGAATTGCTAGAAGATTTATTAAGAACGAGGGGAGAAATAGCAAAATTACTTGGGATGGAAAGTTATAGTCAACTTTTTTTAATGGATAAGATGGTAAAAAATCCAGGTATGCATGAAACAAATTTTCATTTATTTTATTATTTCTAAAACTATCGATTTTCTATATTTAGAAAATGTGCAAACATTTTTGCATTCGCTTGCTGATCATCACCGGCCAAAGGCTCTTGCTGATCTAAGACTTTTGCAAGAAGCGAAAATGAAATACACACAAGGTAAAAAATCACCAACCATATATGCATGGGACCGAGATTTCTATATCGAAAAAGTTAGATTAAAATCATCGACTCAATCAGTGGCACCTATTTCACAGTTTTTTTCTGTGGGCTCGGTTATACAAGGTTTGTCCAAGTTATTCTCGCGACTGTATGGCATATCTTTTGAGCCTGCTGATATATGGCCAGGAGAAGTTTGGCATGAGGATGTACGTAAGCTTGATGTAATTGATGAAAGTGAAGGAAAGATAGGAACTATATACTGTGATCTGTTTAGTCGTTTTGGAAAATATCAAAATGCCGCACACTACACAGTAAGATGTTCCCGACGTGTTGATGATGATGATGGAATAAACGACATTCCATCTGGAATCGATCCGATAGATCTAGGAGAACTGGCAACTTCGAACGAAGGCGAAACGATAAAAGGTAGGGCCGGTCGTTATCAACTTCCAGTAGTAGTGCTTGTATGCGATTTTGGGAAGCCGAAAAATTCAAAAAATCCTAGTTTGTTGAGTTGGGTGGAAGTTGAGACCTTATTCCATGAAATGGGTCATGCAATGCATTGTGAGTTATCTTAATCTTATTTTTGTTAATCACAAATTCAGAATTTTATTAACATATTAATATTGTATATGAAGCAATGATTGGGCGCACTGATTTTCACAATGTGTCTGGTAAATAATTTCTTTATTTGAAATACTTCATTTAACAAAGTCTGATGGATAGTATATATATTGCAATTTTATTTAAGGTACGAGATGCCCTACGGACTTTGTAGAATTGCCGTCCATATTAATGGAGCATTTTGTACATTCCCCCAGTGTACTTTCACTTTTTGCAAAACACTTTGAGACACGTGCACCAATACCATTGGATCTTATCTATTCGCATCGTAATGCGCGTTCCCAATTTTCCGCGATGGAAACCCAGCATCAAATATTAATGGCACTATTGGATCAGTTATACCACTCTAATCTTGCAAATTCTCCCAAATTCGATACCACAGCCATTTTAGCAAATCTACAAGATACTGTGGGATTGTATCCATCAGTGCCTGGAACTGCATGGCAAGTACAATTCGGACATTTATATAGCTATGGTGCTACATATTACAGTTATCTTTTCTGCAGAGTATTGGCTGGTAAAATATGGCAAAACACATTTGAAAAGGACCCTTTAAGTAGAGAGGCAGGAGGAAAGTTCAGAGAGGAGGTTTTAAGGTGGGGTGGTTCAAGGGATCCATGGAATTGTATTGGTGAGGTTTTAAAAGATGAAAGAATCATGGCCGGTGATAACAAGTCTGTCTCCATTGTTGGTGAATGGGTTGATTACCTATAAAGGAATCCAATAACAATACTATTTGAAAATTATAATTTATTACCTTTTAACTTTTTCTATTATCTTTAGCTTTCTTCATATAGAAAAAAAAAACAAGAATTATATATATATATATATGGATATATTAAAGAACAGCTTGAAAAGATTTAAATTAAAGGTTAATCTTTATGCGTCTCAACTTCACGTAAAAATTTCGTCTTTGATGAACAAAATTTCACAGTGATACAGTAAATGAGACTGATAATTGGTTTTCTTTTTACAACCATCAAATAACTTTATAAAATCTATTTATTTTCATATAAAAATAGGTAGGAAATATTTAGTTTTAATGAATTTTAATAATATTGAGATTTTTCAATAAAATACTGTAGGTATATTATTTCAATAATAAATGCAAAAAATTTATTTAAAAAGTTAAGACGCTAACTTTGTTTATTAAAAAAAAAAAAAAAAACTCAGAAAAGAGTCATTATATATTTTCATGTGATTCTTAAAATTTAGATTTTTTAATTTTGTTTTATTTTCACTTGGTTTGGTTTATTTTTTTTTAATTATATTAGTAATAACGATAAATCAATGGATTAAAAAGATAAATTGGGATAATATAAAATGAAAGAATAAATAATCGTGATTTTTATTTTATTTTTATTTTGTTTATTTGGTTAAAAAAAAAATAATATTCGAAAGCATAAATTTTTTTAGTTGTTTATTATTATTATTTCAAATAATATTAATATATTTAATCTTAGAATGTGTGTGACTACGCTTTTTTATGGTGTATGTTATTTCGAATATTAGTATTTCAATAATTTGCCTACCACTAACGCTATAATTTATTTAGTCGAAGCTTTCAGTTTATACGTAGTACGGTAGTTTTATTTATCGGCTACGGAAAAATATTGTGTTGTGAAACAAGAAAACATCTTTACAAAGTCAATAAACAATCAAGCCCGTATTTATCTAGAAAAAGATGAAGATATATACACAAATAATGAAAAGATTATTTTATCTTACCTGTGATCACTATTATATATTTTTTAGGTAAATGAACTTTAATTCTTTTCGAAGAATTTTCCAACATTATTGTGCTATTGCGAACTGCATTCTCTCACCAATGAAAATATACTTTTCAGCCCGTTGTTCCCGTACAGATCTTTGGATATGAAAATCACTACTAAATGCGTGATCGTGAAATAAGGATTTTTATCATCTTTTTTTTTTAAAAAAATATCTATGGAAGGCGGTAAATTGGTTTTAACTTCTTTATACATCCATCCGGTAAAATCTTGTCGTGGAATCAAAGTAGATTCTTGGAAAGTAGGTCGATATGGATTGGAATATGATAGATTCTGGATGATCGCAGACAAAAATTACGAAATGATGACGCAGAGAAAATATGAAAAAGTATCGAATCTTTTTAGAAGAATTTTCTTGAAAACCTGCTATTTATTATATTTTCGAATCGTTCGTCGATAACTCAATGATTCTGCACTAATAGCTTGCTCTTATTACACCAAAAATCGAAGAATTGAATCCTGAGAAAGGAAGCGATGGTAGAGAACTTGTACTTTCAGCTCCCGGTATGGCTCAAGATCTGCATCTTCCATTTTTTCCAAAGTAAGGCTGACAATTCCTTCTTTTGAATGAGGTGGTGGATGTGTTGGACATCATACACACGCTAACACGATTACATATTTTGCAGAAAAGAACTTTATAAAAAGATCCAGGTGATCGTATGGGAAGAACAGGTTTTTGGATACGATTGTGGTGATAAAGCGGCCAATTGGTTGACAACTTTTTTAAAAATGCCGGCGAGAATTGCGTTTAAGTCTACCGACGACTCGAGATATGTTACAAAAAATCTTCCAAAGGAAGTTGACTATAAACCCGAGGTATTTTCTAAATTATTGTGTATTCGTATAGCCGTCATACCACGCTTCTAACATATTCATGAGTAGACTGCGTTTGCAGATACACACCCATTTTTACTCGTTACCGAAGAATCGTTACAGGATCTCAACAAGAGATTGAAGGAACCGGTCGCAGAAAGAAACTTCCGACCAAACATAGTTGTTAAGGGATGCAAAGTACCATACGAGGAGGATACGTGGAAAAAGATTATAATAGGAGATGATCCAGAGAATATCTTTTATGTCGCATGCAGATGCACTAGATGCACGGGTGAGTTTATCTTATTTTTGGCATTTCAAATTTCCGTGGTACTATTTTAACTAAATATAAAAAAAATACGACTTATTTATTTATAAAGTTCCAAATGTAAACCCGGACACTGGAATTAAGGATAAATTGCAACCATCAAAAACACTAAGTTCGTATCGCAGAGTGGATCCGGGTTCTAAATACTTGGCCTGTTTTGGTAAATAATGCAGAATCTTGTCTCTATTTCATTCGTGATTCTCTATTCACGGACAAATTTAACTTTGGCTTAGGAATGAACGTGATTCATAAGAAAATAGGTAAGTCGTTTATAATTTTTATCACAAATCAATAACATCAATCTACGTTTTCTCATTTCCTCGATTTATTCAATAGGCAGTATCCTCAAAGTCGGCGATCCTATTACTGTTTTGGAAATCGGTGTACATGAACGCGAGAAATACGTTGCTTCCGTGGTCAATAAGAAAGTTTGATTATTATATTGGCTTAATATAACTGAATCATGTAAAGCCACATTCCCTTTTATTCCCCATTAAAGTATTGTAATCGTTTAGTAAGCACTAATAATAATAAAAAATGTCATTTTCATAATAAATCTCGATAAATGACAATAAATGTATTTTGAAACTCTACAGAAGTAAAGAGATGAAGAAAAAATTTCGTTAATGAAGTAGGAAAGTCTGGCATTATTATCTAATATCACATAAGATCCAATTGACATCGTTTGTGTTGTTAAATCAACCCGAGTTCAAATTGTAATTAGTTATCATATGCGTTAATTCAAATTGTAAACTAATGATACCAAAGAGAAAAGAAATCAAAAACGTGTATATTTAGGCAACTATAAAATATAAAATCATTATTATCAAACATATATAAATCCAATTGGTTTTTTATAAGAACACCCAAACAGCAATTAAATAGGTATAAGTTGTGAGGTCAATAATAATAATAAATTAAACATTAACATTAACATTAAACATTTACTATTGTAATAATCAAGTGTAAAATCTATAAAGACAAAAGAGATATTTGTCCATATTTAATCATTTTAGACTCTAAGATATTTAATTCTTCATCACACATCTATGTAGGATGTTTTAAGATACTAAAAGGTTATGAAGCTTCCTGGTATTGTAGAGAATAAAAAGAAAGATTGACTCAGAATCACAATAATGTAGATTTATCCAAGCTATCATGTTGATTTCGATTTTATCGCATCCAATTTTCGAAAACCTTCCATGACCTGTTCATAAACGGTAAAGATAATTCCACCAGAAAACTATAATAATAAAAAAACAAAGCATTAGTTAAAAAAATGAATAGATAAAAATTAAAATTAAAATTAGCTTTGAGACTAAATCAAGTTCAGCCCAAGAGTTATTGTTTGACACTAACCAATAGTCTTCCTAATCTAGGGGTTGCACCTTTCCAGAATGCAAAAACCCCTTCTTCGGTTAAAACCTTCCATCCACAATGAAAAGAGTTTCTATATAATTCTTTAGCACGTAGTCCTTGCATCTTGGTTTTTATAACATCTAACGGCATGGTACTATATACTGTGATTATACCAGCGATCGAACCCATGGCAAATGTCACAGACCATGGTAATGGCTGACCGGGAGAATATTTTTGAAATCTTTGCTTCAGAGTGGAATATGTCGAAAATCTGACCGCCTGATTTGCTCCTTGCCTCATCATCACTGGAAATAACCCTCGGTATACTCCTCCCGCACCTTCATTTGCTATTATAGTGCGAATGCCTGCAAAATATTTTTTACACAGATTAAATCAACAGACGTTTTAAAGGATACTGTTGATATAACGAGTTACGATTATTACCATGCACTAATCCTTTATATTGTGGCTCTGGTCGTGTAGCATCGTGAATTAATTTTGTTCTGCAAGTGTTATGTAAATTAGTAAATTATTCATTTTATAGATGTTGAACAATAAAAACATACTTAATCGTTTCTGTTGGTGTTACTACGAGGATAGCTTCGACCATTCCCGCTCCCAAACCGGCTGTTTGACAAAGATAAATCATCAACCAATACATAATATATTTGATTGCACATGCATCCTACTTACCCATCATAGATCTGGGTCCGGAAAGTTTTCCTTGCTCATCTTGTAATAGGACCTTGAGCTGGTCGTAAGTAAAGAACCGGACACCTGCCTTTACGGCTGTTCCTATCACCAAGGCTGAAAGACCTTTATAAAGCGCGAAAATCCCTTTTGTTCGAACTGTGGTGATTGCACAGTCAAGGGGACCTTTGAATTTCTGGAAGTTTAACATCCAATTATATGAGATTTATTAAATATCTAGGTGAATGCATTTTGATGATTACCGCTTTATTGGATGAACCATCTTGTAATTGTAATTGGGTTTTCACGTATTCTGTTGGATACTGAAAGTTATTTGTTATTGGGTCATCGAGAAACATTAAAAATTCAGAATTCTCTATAGTAGTGAAATATTTACTGTTATCGTTCCTTCCACCCCACCGGCAATTAATCCTGCAGCCAACGAATAAAGCACTTTATCTTTCTGCGTATCACAAAAATTCGAACCAAAATTTAGTAGGTTATTATTGAGAATGTACAATCAACATATCAGGATCACTCATTACTTTTTTCTCAGACATATTTACGATAAAATCATAATTCCTTTTTTTTTAAAAAAAAGAAAAAAAAAATTAGATTTCTACGCAAAATTCAAATATAAGCGCCACAACAAAAACCAGTTACTGGTGGTGATCTATCCAATAACGATAGATTCCCTCTTCATGTGGTAATGACAGTCATACAATGCTTTAGAATTCCCGAAAACCTAATTATATTTGATCAATGCGGTGAACAACATCAATTACTATCATTATCGAAAATCATAGTCCGATGTGTGTACGTGATAATTAGATCAAATAATATGGATATTTTTTTTTTTGTATGAAATAAAAATATCAAATATATATTTTTAGAATATAATTTATAATTAAATCATCAAAAATTTTACAAACAATAAACTTTTTTTTTTTTTTTTTACTTATAATATAAAATAAATACAATTATTTTTTTTATAGCAAAGAAATTTTTTTGTGCAAAAGTTAAGCTAAAAACAAAAAAAAATATCATATTGTTAATACTTATTTATATAATATTGAACTATTTAATGTTGTTAAAATATATAATTTATCAAAAATAGCAATATTTGATATTATTAATTGTTTTAAAAACAAAACTAAAAATTTCAACCAAATGTATTGATTTTTTAAAAAAAATAATAAGTATTTTTAGTTATTATTACTTAAAATTTAATTTTTATTTTAATATAATATTTATTATTAAACTGTTTAAAAGATTTTTTATCAATTAAAAAAAAGATTAAAACAAAAAAAAATATTATTATAAATATTTAAAATAATCAAATATTTATACAAGAAACAAATATTTAATTAATAAAAAATAATCATAATAATAATCTTTAATAAAAATAAAAAATAATACAAATTCAAATAATTAAAAAAATATTTCAATAAAAAAATTTTATATTTCAATATAATTTAATTTCAATTTATATATTTGATTATTTAAATAATAAATGAATTCTAATTATTTTAATATATAAAATTAAATATAATACAAAATATTTTAAAAATATTTAAAAAATTAATATGGTTAATTTTTTATATATTATTAATCAAAGTTAAATAAAAATATAGTATCAAAATATATAAACAAAAAAAAATAAATTTTAATAATCTTTTATAAAATTCTTAATTTTTTGACTTTTTTTTTATAATATAGAGCAAAGTTAAAATGATTATATTATTTTTTAAATTAATAGTAAATACTATAATATTATATTTTTGAAATTAAGACAAATATTTTACAAAATATATATATATAGTAACTAAATTTTTTTTCTTAATTATTTATTATAATCTTTAGAAGCTAAAGAAAATAAGAAATATTAAACAATTAAAAGGAGCTGATTATTTATTTATAAATATAAAAAATTGTTTTTTCCAAAAAAATTAATCAATTTCTAAAAAAAAAATTATTTTATATATTTAAAAAATTTAATAATAAAATTAAATAAGACAATTTTTCTAATAACTTTATTATAGCATTTGAAATTCCTTGATTACAAAAATATATTTTCTAAAGTATTGTTAATATTTATCAAAATATAAAAAGAAAAATAGTTAAAGTAAATCAAAAAATATTAAAATAACAATTGATATAAAAATTTTTTTACAAATAAAACTATATTTTAGTTTTTTAACAATATTATAGAACAGTAAATATAAAGGCAAAAAATTAATTCTTCAAATTTCAAAATTAGAAAAAATATTTTTATATAAGAAAAATTTAATAAAATAGATAGGATTAATTTATTTTATTTTAAAAAAACAATAATAATAGGATTTTATATTAACATATTAAAAAAAAAATATAGAAAAATCAAAAAATTAGTAAAAAAATTATAATAACCTTAACAGAATAATAATTTGAAATATATAAGTTATCTTGTGAAATCTTACTTCAAATTATATATTTTCAAAGTTTTTAAATAGTTAATTAATAGTCTAAACTTAAATTCTATTAAAAATTTGTAAAATATAGTAAAAAAAAAATATGAAAAAAAAATACTATAGAATTTGAAAAAATTAGAATTATTTTTGATACAATAAGAATATAATTCTAATATTATTTTAACAAATTTTGTAAATCTATAAAAAAGAAATATAAATTAGTAATTAAATATAATAGTGATTATATTGACTATTGAATTTTTTTTAAATAAAAAATATTAGTTTTTACTTTTAAATAAAATATTAATTGTTATGATTGAATTAATAATTATTAAATAATAACAAAATATATTTTTTAAATAATTTTAAAACATTTTATATATTTTTGACTTATAATAAATACAATTAAAATCTAAGAAATTACTTGATTCAATTTTATACAATAGAAAAAAAAATCTATAAAACAAAAATTAATTAAAATTATAAAGAAGAAATAAAATAAATTATTATAAAAATATATTTATTTATTTATAACAATTTGAAAAAAAAAATGAAATTATAAATATATCATTTATTTTATAATTATTGCATAAAACTTAAAAATTTAAAAGATATATATTTATATAATAAAATTTAAAAATTAATTATTTCACTATTATTACAATAATGGTTTTATAATATTTTAATATGAATTTGATCAAATTCATTAAAATGATCTTTGAAGTATTAATCCACTCTTTCTTTATAAAGTTTTTTAAATTTTATAAATTTTTTGACTTATGTTTTTCTATTTTTGTTTTTATAATATTTCACAAATTCTCTATAAGATTTAGATTAAAACTATTTACTAATCAATTTATTACTTCTAAAATATTATTTTGAAAAAACTTTTTTGTGATATTAATGATATGTTTTAAATTATTATTATATTAAAAGATTTATTTGCTTTTTAATATTTACTTAACTTTTAAAAAATAATTTTGTAAAATTTTTATATAATAACTATCTATTATTACTGTTTAAAACAAAATAAAGATATTATTTTTCTTATATTAAATTCATTCCATATAAAAATTTTTATTTGATTTTTTAATCTATATTAAATTGATTTTTCATTTTTATACTAATATTGAATTATGTTTTAATATAATTGAAATGCAGTTTCATCTATAAATAAAAAAATTTTTTAATTGCAATTTAAATATTTTCATATCTATTTGATTTGTTTTTCTTTATGCCATTGTTATGGTCCTGAAAATTGAAATTGCATAGACTTGTATGGATTTGTATACATATAAAAAACATAAATGAATTATAACCTATCTATTAAATTTACTATAAGAGCTGAAATCAAATGGAATTAAATATAGAATTATTAGAATTCTTAGTTATTATATAAGAATTAATATGATTTTAGATAAGTTTTTTTTATATTCAATACTTGTTAAGTACTTTAAAATAATTGAAAAATAAAGTTAAATATCTTTTAGTAATAATTTATTAGTAATATCTTTAAGTGAAATAAATAGATTTCAATAAATATATTAATATATTATATTTGTTATATTGAAAGTTATTTTAAAAAGATGACTATTTCCATTTTTATGTTTTATAATTTTATTTTTTTTTAATTTTTGAATATTATAATTAAAAATAGATTCCTAAATTATTTAATATATAAAATTTTGCAGATCAATTATGTTCCTTTTAAAGGGATATAATTATTTATTTATTATTTTAATAGGAATATAATTTAAAAAACATTTGAATTAAGTGACCTAAATTGTAAAAAACCTTTATAGATAGTTTTTTTTTGATCTTATATTTTAAAAAAAACTTTTTTAATAGTGAGAGACATTAATTTATATCTTTGCCTTTAATTTAGAGACCCATCTTTAATTATAATAGATAGTAGAGGTCAAAATCTTGATAAGTATATGTAACTTAAACATCAAATATATTCTATTGTTTCAATAATATAGCAAAACTTCTTAATATCTTTTGTTAATAAAAAGAGACATTTTAATTGATACTATGTAAAAATTTTACAAGAGATTAACAATAAAAATCAGCTAATTTGTAGTACAAAGATTATATTTTATTATTTGAGTTTAATTTAAATATAGCATATATTATATAAAAAATTATTACTAAATTTATCACGTGATATAAATTCCAATTTTTTTTTCAAACCGTTGTATTTGCAGCATACCAAAATCAAAAAACAATAAAGTTAAAGGAAAATCTAAATATCAAAAAAAAAAAAAAAAATTTAAATATATACAGTATATATATTTCCGGTAATTAAACAGATTTTTAAAAATTATATTTTTTGATTTCTAGTACTGTATGTTATTTCGAATTTTTAGTGTTACGCGAGTGCTTATTCCGGAAATTGATAGATCATCGGAAGCGTGTGGTAAAATCAGACTTTCCGGACCAGTTAACATCCAAACAAGGTTATATAAATACAGGATAATTTGCTTTCAATCGCGTATGTCCAAAGCGACATAATTTTGACGTGGAATTATTTTTATCAAGATATCGAGAATTTTGAAAGAAACTTCTGTAATGACATAAATGATAATTGAATAAATTTGGTGTGATTCATATAAAAGTGCATTTTTCTAGAAAGTTGGCATTGAGGTGTAATGAATTAAATTTTATGCATAAAATTGATGTTAACATCGTTAAAAAATGAATTTTATTTAAATTTTACGCACACTGAACTTAAGGTTGAATGAAAAATAAAAAATTTTGAACATTGGTTTTTTAAAAAAACTTGGAAAATGTATGCTTAATTTTAATTGGTCGAAAACAATATATTATTAACGAAAGAAGTTAACTTTTACGGCAATATCAAACTTTCATTTTTTAACTCCTTTTCTTAGTGCTTTTATTTCAGAATCTCGTGCTTCGTATGTTCGCTGTAAAAATTCTTGCTTTTCTACGAACCTGCATCATCATGAATAATTAGTCAAACATCATCTAATGTACACTGATGATATATTACGCGCAATATTTCTTACCCATTTTTATTATGATATTTGAGCTCATGAACAATTCCTTCTTTTTCAACATATTTCTTCCAATCCATTTTTGATTTTTCCAGAGTGTTAATTTTGACAGGTTTTTTGTTTAACGAAGCAGCGAGTTGACTGAGATTTGATTTCGGTCTACCAAATTTCCCACGTTCCGCCATAGCGACAGCAATTGGTGACCGAGTTTTCTTTGTGGAACTAGCTGATGGTTTGGCAGATTCTGTTTCCTCCACCGGCGAAACGGAAACTTCTGATATGCTATTATTTCCTGTTGTATTGTTTGTTTTTGTTTGACTTTCGATATAAGCTTTGGCCTCTTCCGAATCTATGTGAACCCGCCTTTGCTCTCTAAGTTGGAAAAACAAAATTTATGTATATATATTTTAACGACAATAACTTGAATAATGCAATGTCCACTAACGTTACTATTTCACCAGCAAATTCAAAGGTTTTTGTTATAGTAATCATTTGATCCTCCGACGTTGAATTTTGAAAATCTTTGATCTAGTAATATATGATATCGTAATTAGACATTCAAGTAAAATTAACAAAGTCAATGTTTCTAGCAACCTGTGTAAAACATTGACATCGATGTCTTACTTAGGATTACCAAGTAAAAAAATATTGTATAATATATCCCAGATCAACAATAATATATTAATATTATTACCTTATGTTCATCTAGAGCATTTGGTTTATCGTCATTTAGCTCCTCCCATAGGGCATCTACATTAATTTTACGTTCGGGCGCAACAGATCCTGACTCCTCTTTGGTATCGTCATTTTTTCGGGATCTTCATTTATTTTTGAATTTTGGATGTGAGATGACTAATTAAAACACGAACCAAATAATTTCTATATCTTTGATTTTTTATTTTTTAAAAACCTCATTTTCTTGCTTTTTTCGTCATCGATTTCTCCCGTTTCATTTATTTTCCTCTTGCTTCGAGTCATCAATTTAGGTTCGATGTTGAGGATTTCACCATCTTTATCACTTCCTTTGTCCTCATCACTATCATAATCTTCTGCTTTATCAAAGGAAAAAAAGATGCATAAATATAAATGAATCTTTAAAAATCTCATTATAATAAAATTGCTAATTAATCACCTTTTGGCATGAAATCAGAATCATCTGATGAGTTTCCTTCAAGTTCTTCTAGATCCAAAATTTTCATTTTCGTAAGTTCGTAATATTCACAGAAAAGAAACCAAAATGTATTTGGAAAACGGTTTAAAGGTGATCATAGCACAAATCAACAGTTTATATAAATTGTTAATTCTGTACGTATCATGTGACATATGATCGCCAAATTACGATCACATGAAGATAAAAATTTTTTTTAAATATCTTCATTTAATAAGATTATCAGGTTTTTTTTTTGTAGACATCATGAAAGGTAACAACACATTACCCAAAGAGCTAAACACAGGAGAAGGGAAAAATAGATATAAGGTAAATATCAATTACTTTAAATCTTATTATGTTGCATTATTAATTTGTAGTTTAATCACGAATTCATGGAATTTTTTTTTCTCATTATTCAGTACAAACCTTTCAATGCTCTCGTTGAAAGTCTGAAAATAGATGTTTCCTATCGATCAGATAAAAATCAGGAAGAACCCGAGGTATTTTTAATTCTGGTCAAAAGTTCAATCCTCGTCTTCATCATACTCAGGAATTATTCAAATCCTTCATTATATTGGAACATAGGGTTTAGGCTCTTTTTTTCATGATTCATTAGAATCATGGAAGGAATTCAATCTATCAACACACTTTGCGATTTTCGTTCGTGAAGTCTCCCAATATTGTCAGTCATTACCACAAATATTGTATCATAAAGAAGATATAGTTCGGATACTAGAGGATCACCTCAAAGTTAAGAATAGCCATGCATTGGAACCATTATTAGAGTAAGTGGTGTCCATTACAAAGTTCCACTACTTATCTCTCTCAAAAAGAAGTATTGATTTTTTTTTCTCCTAGCCTGGTCACAAAGTTGGCAAGAGACCTAGAGATTGAATTCTATCCATATTTCGAGCGGATCATTTCGGTGATAATACCTTTGACCAAACGTCAAGATGTGAAGACATTGGAGGTATCTGATAACTGCCGTTAATTTACTAACCTAACTATAAATTACTCGTATTTACATCTCCTGCGTTAATCGTCTCAATCTAGTGCACATTTAATTGCATTGCCTACTTATTTAAATACCTGTTCAATCAAATAATAGCGGATCTCAGCCGTACTTACGGGTAACAAATATATATATATATATTTCTTGAAATATTGAACAATGTTCGATCTTAACAATATGTTGTCATACCCTACTCTAGCTTGATAGCTCCTTTGCTGGGAGAGGATTCCCAAAAGCCTTATATAAGACGCTTTGCAGCCGAAGCTTTTGCATTTCTTCTTCGAAATACTCGCGGAGAAAAACTTACCGATATAATAAACCATATATTTGATTTGTTCAATGAATATCCGACTGATACCTACCGTGATGGGTTGAATATGTTGTTCTATGAGACTGCACAGGTACAATTCACGTATTATTATTTATTAGTTGATTATAAGAATCTTTCGTGTTTTCTAATTCTTAAAATTTCGATAGGATACCGATAACAAGCTTCATGATGGCGCGTTAAATTTAATGCGGGAATTACTAAACAAGTCATGTAGAGATTCATCGACTTGTAGCAATATCGGTATTTCTTAAGTGTTTTTAAATATATTTTTGCAACAGACATTAGCTGCAAATTCACTATTTTTATTCTGATTATTCATCATTGTAAAAACACGTTAGAATCCATATATAGCTATCGTGTAACAACTTCAACCACCATTGCTCTCGTTCATCACGTTAAATCTGAGAACTTTGGTATTTTGTGGAATTTTTATCTGGATGAATTAGAAAATCTGCAGAATATTTTGTTGGACGAAACCGATTTCGCGAATATCTCTCAAGAATCTCTTACAAAAATAGGGATCAATCTATCTCTGGTGTATATATGCCTTACAGTGCGGAAAGGTAGTCGTATAAAAGGTAAATTTAAGTTCTTTTTATTATGTAAATTTGATATTATGCGCTCGGCCCGTCCAATGTTACAATTTTATTACATTATTCAGGGAACTTCAAGCGTATTTTCAATATTATGAGAAATATTACTCAATACGCACTTATCAAAAACCCCTCACATGGATATCTGTTCTTCCAGCGTCAGTACTTTAAAACTTGTGTGTCACTAATAACATTGACAGGAATGAATGGGTTTCTGACAGGCGGAAAATACATACTGGATAAAATCTTCGATCATGATGTATATATACACATATTTTGCGGTAAAGTTTCTAATTTTTTGTGCGCAAAAGTTCAAACTTTCTTATTTATTATGTAAAATTATAGGACACTGATTGCGTGTTAGTATTTGCACATAATGTTGCAAATTTACGGTGGGAACATTATGAAAAAATAATACTTCCCTATATTGTGAAGTGAGTTATTGATGTGAATATAAACTTATTTTTCATCAGAATACTTTCACTGACTGATGAAATTTTTAGATATTCGTCAACTCACTGGGAAGAAAATCCAAAAAAGATTACATTATTTCTTGCTAACCTATTATCCACAAAAAATTTGTCAATTCCTCCGGGTACAATTTCATCATTCATCACGAAAAACGGACTGATAAAATTTCCGAACGCAAAATCAAAAAATCAAAATATTACGGATGGATTGCTACGTATTCTGAACCAAAACTGTGATTGGGCATCCGAAATTAATATTTTAAATCAGGTTGACTTAGAAACAGTAAGTATATTTTTGTTTATTTCACTCATAAATCATTTACTTCGTGTTGATATTTCTATTTTCTTTTGGTTAAGGTGGATATGCAACCTCCCCATCTGACTCTGGTTTCGGCCGCCCTTACCGTGATTTCGCGTGTTTTCATCCCATTTTCGGAAGTTTTCAACTCTTTGTCGACATGCATAAAATCATTAGCAGAATTTTTGAAGTCCACCAATTCTACAACACTATCGGCATTTTCTAATGGGCCTTTCACTCATAGTTCTCCATACGTCTTAATGCAAAATTTACTTGGTCAGGTCATTGATACTTTGGCAAGTATATGCCGACTCACTTCTGAAACCGGTGATATGGAAAAACTAGTCAAACTATGGGATCTCATTATCGATGAAATTCTATTAGCATATGGTACCAATCATGTTGTTTTAAGAGGCGTCGCTGGATATTTGGACCTCTTACGATCTAGGTAAGTTGTTTAAAACCGTATTAATCTTTTCTAAATCTAGTTTCTCAAACATCTTTTATCTTATTAGTAAGAAGAACGATCATCTATTTAACACGAAAAACCTTGAGAAGATATATCCTCATTTGAAATGCAATCTAAGCTCTTTTATACACCAGCGAAGACTTTACTCGCTGCAAATTCTTGCAATTTTTGATCAATTTCCGCTCAATGCCTCAGAGTCGTCTCAAATTGATCAAGAGTTTTGCGACATATTTTCGATAGGCTTAAAGTTTGAGCAAATAGAAACTGCCATGAATACTTCCCGTAACAAAACGATTTTACTTCGTAATCTAAGTTCATTGATATCCACAAAAAGGGTGCCCGAATTTTATTCCGAAGTTGCGCCTTTACATTGCTTTGGTATGTGACATCTTAGTTGATTAGTTGTTGTCGTGCTATAGTTATACATTAATTTTATATTTATTTTTTCTTTAAGGCGTTTTGACCATTAACTTCAGCGATTTATGGTCCGACGCGATTCAAGTTCTTGCCAAATTCGCTGAACTCTATCCAAAAAAGTTTTGGATCCTTATTTATAACGAATTTACAAGATTCAATGATGGTACTAAGCTCGAGCAAACCGGACTTTCCGAAACGGCCATTCAATTTTATTTCAAAGAGGATCAACTTTTCTCAAAATCTGTATTCAGAACCGGTGGCATATCCTTCGAATGTCCGAATCTATTAAAATACAATAAGGCAAATGAAGAATCACAAAATCTTATTTTTGATAAATTTGTTAATGGTTGCATCCGCCATTATATTTCAGTGAGTGTCTTGTATATAAACTTTTTATTTATTTATCTATTTATTGTTTGTCATTAATAATCATTTATGTTACTTAGTGCTTTTTTCCGGAAAACAACAGATTTGATCATTTGAATTACTACGGCCTTCTTATAAAGACACTCATTGAGGTTCCTCATATTGCAGAACAGCACTCTCATCAATTAGTGCCTCTATTCCTTCAATTTACAGATAGCAAATATAATTCAGTGAACGACAATATGATGGATATAGATAGTGCAGGTCGAAATGACAATATTCAGATGATGGATGTTGATGATGATGCTAAAGATCATGTCTCGACCCCTGTGCAATCATCAAAAGGTTCTAAATCTAACATGGTATTGTTCTTGAAACTTTTTGCAAAGTTCAAGAATCCACGTGCTTTGCACAAGTCTGCCGAGCTCAAAGACATCTATTTGCGCTTCTTGACTAATGGAGATATTAAGATGCAAACCTTAGCACTAAATTGCCTGCTTACATGGAAACACAAAGGCATCGTTGCTTATGAAGAAAACCTCAAAAACTTTGTTGACGAAGCAAAGTTTCGGGATGAGTTGTCAACATTCTCTTTGTGCAGGGAAAATGGATCTATTGGATTTGAACACCGAGACGAGGTGATGCCTATTATCATACGCATCTTATACGGCCGTATGATGGCAAGAAAGGGCAAAGAATCCTCGAAAACCGGAAT